TCCCTACAAGAAATAGCATAGGTGCTGGCAAAAGACAGAAGGGGTGTTTTCTCCAGCAGCCTCATTCTGCGTTTCTCTTTGTCCCTGGGAAGCACATTCATCATTTGTTGGGAGGATCCCTGTAAAAATATGAGCAGACTGCTAGCAGTAAGTTCAGCTGGAGAGCTATTTTACAGCCGGAGGGACCCTTGCTCCCTGTTTTTACCAGCTACAGAGAAAAGTCACCAATCCCCTCCTGAGTCGCCCCTATGTTCTCTTCCTGGAAACCCCTGATCTCTAAGGTGCCTACAGGGGCTCCTAGTTCACACCTGGGAAGAGACCGCCATTTGGCGGTGAAGACATATGCAATGCTGCCGCCTGCTGTTATGGAAGGGAAGTGCCTGGCCGCAAGGCCTTCCCAATTAGTTTTTCGAAGAACACCTTCCCAGCACACGGCTTGCCAAGGTTGGGGAGGGGGATAAGAGGAAGGCTGCTTGGAGCAATCTGCCGTTTCCTAGCTGTGTCCCTTAATCTCTATTGCTCCTGTGGCTTCTGAAAGCAGCTGCGTGGTCATGTGAGACAAAGGCAGAGCCTCTCTCTGAGGGTATCTGTCCACCATGTGGTAGGTGCAGGATAATCAGGAGCCGCTCAGGTGCCCATAAACCACACACTCAGTTCCTGTTACTGTGCCTGGATCTGAGAGGGCTTTGGCCTTGGTGCCTGGGGAGGGTATGTCCTTTTGGGTGCACGGAGTCCCAGCTCTGGCTCCCTTTCATTGCGGTACAGCTGGGGAGGGCACCACTGAAGGGTAGACAGAGGCTGTCTTGTCACCAGGAACAGCATAGAACTGTGGGAAAAGCCTGGGTTCTTGAGCCAGGCTGCCCAAGACAGAAAACCACTGTGGGACTTTAACCCTTCTGCTTCTGTGTTATCCATAAAATCAAGCGAATAATAATACTTGGCTTTTGAGGGATCCAATAAGTCAGTACGTATAAAGTCCTGAGAAGAGTGCCCGGCTCATAGGAAGATCAGCTTCTCTTATCACCCATTCCCTCTGGGGCCATCCCTGCTGACTCAGTGAGGGTTAGGGTCCCAGCTAGAGCTTCCTCCTCTCCCCTCACTTCCTTCAGAGAGCCTGGAGTGGGGGAGGGGCGTCAAAGTCCTCTTACTCCCTGAGGCCTTGGGAGAGTCTGATATGGTATATCCATCCTAGCCCCCGGCCCCACCCCTGACCTATCTATACTGGCTCCAGAGAGCAGGGCCTCTGCCGCAGGAGATGATGTGGGTTGTGGCTCCGAGTCAGACTGCTGTGTGGGCCGGGCAGATCATTCAACCTCACCCAGCCTCCACTGCCCCCCAAACAGTACCTACCTCCTAGGGTGGGGAGGACTGAATGAGATCATCCCGTCTGATGCTTCACTCAGTGCCTGGCACATAGGAAGAGCCCCAAAAGTATAAGTTACTGTCATTCCACCTCTGTCTTTGCTTCTACTATTCCCTGCCAGAAATGCTCTCCTCTTCCACCTCAGACCTGGAAAAGCCTTGGGCACCTCTTGGAGCCTGAAGCAGAGGCCTTCGCTCGTGCTCACAGCAGAGCAGTTCTCTGGTTTAGTGCTCGCCTGCAGGAGCCCACCCCACAGACAACAGTCTGGCTTTCCCACTGGGCCGTGGGCTCCTCCAGGGCAGGGACCGTGTGCCTGTCTCCCCCAGATCATCTACCTTTCTGGTGCATGACAAGTGTTCATCAAATATTTGATGAATTAATTGAAGAAATGCAGGAGTGGGCTCTCAGGGCAGACAGCCTGGGCTCAGGGCTCAGACCTCAGCCCAAGGGGGGCTGGATCCCCTCCCTCTCCTGCTGCTGGAGGCACTGAAATCAGAATGTGTGGTAGACAGTGCTAAGCCCTGGGCCTGGAGAAGCAAGGGGAAAATGCAGCTGGGACTGACAGAAGAGAATGCACAGGGAGAATTATAAAGCTACCCTCTCAAGGGCTCTAGGAACCTACCTTTCTCTTTCTTTACTTTGATCAAGTCCCTGTAGTTCGTTTTCTTCAGCTCACCAATGATGCCCTTGTTGGCATCGTCCAAAGCCTGTGGTGGTAGAAGAGCCAGTATACTCTCCACATCCCTCTTTGGGCACCTAACCTCCCCTTTCACCCAAGTCCCCACCCCAGCAGACAGGGCTCTGTACTAACCCTGCCCTTTCCTTTGCTCCAGGCTCCTCTGAAGGCTTCTGCCTAGAGGTTAGTTGATATTCTAGGGACCCAGAATTACTCAGGCTAAGCGATATGAAATACATGACTGCAGGGAACTCAAACTGCATTTCCCTTGTGCTTAGCATGTATTTGGGAGGTGTGTCTGTCTATTAAATTCTACCTTTTTTACCTAAAGCCGCTTTTGGCTTTAGCCAATGCAAAGACAGTACAAGGCCCTAAGTACACAGCAAGGCAACAAGCCACAAAGGGAACCCAGACACACACCTGGGTTTGGGGAGCTGGGGGGCGGGCCTGCCTTCAGAGGGGCCTCCAGGGGGCCTGCAGCTTCCCCGGGGGTCCTAAAACTCATCCTGTGCATATCTTGAGGGCAGTCTCCGCCTTCTTCCTGTGACTTACATGGGGTGGAGCACCAGTAGGCACTCGGAACCATCTACTGAACAACCACCAGGCTTGCATCCCTGTATACTTTCCTGCCTGGAGATGCCAATCCAGAAGGGTGAAAGGTCAGGGACCTGGTCCCATGAGGAGTTACTTAGGGCTCTGGGACAATTTGGCTTGACAGGCACTTCTCTCTACCTATTAACCTTTCAAGATCCTGCCCAGCCTTCAAGCGACCTCAAACCCTCCGTAATGGGAAAGCCCAGCCCTGCCACCCACTGGGCCTCTCTCACTCTGAATCCTCTGGTCCCTACTGCACTAGTTGTGAACAAGTGGTTTTTGTTTTAACCTTCCTGATGACACCAAAGTTCCTGAGGGCCAGGATCACAGTTGTCACCTTTCGGCTGGACAGCCCAGGCTGACTCGTGGTCAGCAAATATTCACTGAATTTAGTTGCTATGCTATCTCTCCAAATATTTGTAGGGTGACCATGTGGAAGAGGATTAAATGGGAGAGCCCGCAAGTGTGAACCGAAGAAGGGGAGTGCTTTGCCTCTGGAGGCCAGATTTAAAGGCAAGGTGCACATTTGAAAAGCCGACTTCCTCCACAAGGAAAGAAGACAGCAGTGTGCTCGGCCTCAGCTGCCCTGGGCTGGGTGAAAGCACGGCATGGACTCCCACATGGTGGGGTCTCTTGGGAGTGATTTCTCCACCATGACAGGGAAAGAATAGCCTCACCATGGTCCCCACAAACCACGAGATTGCCCCCTAAAAATCTGAGTGGGTCAGGTGGCTCCTCTACTATCCTAGCCCTTTAAGTCCAAGCTGGTCTATCGACTGTCTGGGGTTCTTTGCCCCTAACCCTCTGTCACTGTGACCCAGCCCTTGGATCCAGGCCAGGATCTCTTTTCTGTCTCCCACAGCCTATAAGACCCTGCGTCCTTGTCCTTCAAAGCCAGCATGAGGCCCACCTCCAACTGGAGCATCCTTGAGGTGTCACTTCTCAGGGTTCTTGCTCCCTGTTCTGAATGTCTACTGCACCTCTAGTGTGGTTCCTGAGGCCATGCCTCTCATACTGCCCCCAAGTTATACAGTCTGGCCCCTCTCAACCACAGGGCAAGCTCCCGAGGATGAGGGCCCTGTTTGATTCACTCCAGCAGATGCTTACTGGGGTCTAGCCATGTGCTGGTGGTGGCTCTGAGATTTAGACATGGAACAGCTTGAGGGACAGCAGTCCAGTCCGCAGCAGGAGTTGAGGTGACCAGGAGACTCATGCTTTAGCTGCCTGTATATCTGTGAGGTCAGTGTGCTGACCCTGCTGAGCATCTGCCTGGAGTGGCTCTGGAAGCAGTGGCTTCACCTCTGTTCTCTGCCTTCTGAAGCTTATAGTCTAGGTCAGCACCATCCAACAGAAACTTCTGCAACAATGGGGATTCTCGAGATCTGCACTGCATGGTACCCACAAGCCACAGGCAGCTAAGGAGCACTAAAAATGTGGCTAGTGTGACTGAGAAACAGAATTTTAAATTGTACTTACTTTCAATTCATTGAAATCTAAATGGCTGCACAGGGCCAGCGACTGTTTATTGAGCAGTGAGGGTGAGTGAGGCAATCATTCTGTATTTCTTGCTGTCTCCTGAAGGAGGCAGCATTTTTCAAGCTGCAAATCCTAAAATCGATTTAGGTCTCAACGAGCATTAAATAAAATTTCAAAAACTAAAATAGAATAGGAAATATCAGCATTCATAGCAAAGGTAAGTATGTTTTCTAAAACTTTCATTGCTAGTTTTTATTTCAAATAAAAATATGTGTATTGGGTTGCTATATAAACCGATGGCAGCAGTCAACATTTGAAATCCACTGCCCTACCTAGCCTGTGCCCTGCAGGTGGTGGGTGATCATGTTTGCAGAATGGCCAACTGGAAAGGCTAAGGGCCCAAGGCGCCACCCGCCCCACTCCCCACAGCCAGGGCCCAGCTTGGGACAAAGGCTCACACTGATGATGGCCTGCTGTGCCTCGTTGTTGTGGACAAGCTTCGCCCTCTCCAGGGCCTTCTCAAAGTTGTTCACAGCCGACTCGAAGTCTCTCAGCTTCACTGGAGAGCAAGGGAAGACACAGCACAAGTAGAGGTGACATTGTACATTGCACGACTGGGCTGCCCTAAAGATACCACACTCCCTCAGGAGCCCCCAGCCAGCCCAGCCACTCCCAGGGTCAGTTAGAAGCTTGTGTGAGCTGGATAGAGTCAGCCCCAGGCCTCAGGCAGCATCATGGAGCTTTCCAGCGCCACCCTTTCCGTCACATTCTTGGGCTGTCTCCCCACTAAGGACAGAACCTGGGAACCTGAGCCTTAGACCTTAGGCTGTTCAAAGGGGTCGACGAGGGAAGGGAGACTGCACACACATATGTCTCCAAGGCAGGGAGACAACTCCATCTTTCCTCATCTTTAGGTTGTTCCAGGAGAGGAAATCCATATTTTAAAAATGTTTGCTAAAATGTTCTAAGAATGCTGGTAAGACCAAACAAAATATGGAAGGGCTGGATGGTGCAGTGGCTGGAACCTCAGCTCTCTTGAGCCCAACTCCCAGAACAATCTGAAGCTAGACGTGAGGTGGCTCCTCCAAGCTTCACCCATGCCACCAATCAGTGCTGGAACCGGCACTGGAATGATGGACTGTCCTTGAAAAGAGCTTAATTTCAGGAAGAAAGAAGAAAAGTACTCATCAGCCAGGGTCTGGGAACCCTACATTTCAGCTTCTTCACACACCACTGCTTTCTCTTATAATTGAATATACCCAAGATCTACCCGCCTCCCAAAAACCGCCTTGGGATCCATGGGGAAAGGAGGGCCTTGTGTCCACAAGTTAAAGTGCCGAAGGCTGCTCCATTGGAAAAGTGATTCGAATGTAATTCTGAAAGTAGGTGTATACATTTTTTTTCAAACACATTTAAAAAGAAAGACCCCTCTGAATGCACATCGGTGTCATTCGGACACTGCAGGTCTGCAGAGGAGTCATAATGCTTATTCAAGAGAGTAAAACATTAAAGACTATTCTTTTCATTTTAATGAATCTTTTAAGATAACCCAAAGTTATCTCGATTCTGGGAGCTGTTTTCCTCTTCTTTCTCCACTCTGTGCAAATCTGTGGAGAGCAGATTGTAAGCTGATAAGGTCTTTGCAGTCTGCAGGGCAACCAAGGGTTTCCTCGCCTCTGCAAACTCCTTCTAAGAACAAGATAGTACAAATGTAGCTGCAGGCAGACAAACAACCTGAAGGTCATGATAAGATACGTTGTCATGCCTAAGGGAAACTGCTTATGCCAACTATTGTACGTTCTTGTATAAAAGCAGCTTGCAAAAATAAAATGGCGCCATCGTCCACCATCAGTGGACAGTGGACCTCCTGATCCCAGCTGTCTGTCTTCTTTCTTTTCTTCATCTCCCACCGTTCCCACTCAGGTATATTTTCCAGAGCCGTGCTGGACGTGGCAGGATTTACCGCTTGCTGGATGTGGCACAGATCCACGCATTTATGCCTACATTTTTGTTGAGCCCAATAGGCTTTTCCAAGGCCTGTAACTGTTTCTTATCACTGTTAGAGACACTTATGGGAAGCTGACGAGAGGCTAGAGAGGAAGAGATGAGTGCTACTGAGTCCTGATCTCAGTGCTTGCATGCTTAAGTATTACCTTTTATCTTCACACCAACCTATAGGTAGATACCATAATCATGCCTATCTACAGAAGATGAAACTGAGGCACAGAGTGGCACTTGCCCAAGAAACCTGAGCCAGTAGGGCCCAGAGCCCAAGTTCTGTCTGCTAGGCTGTGCTTCCTCTAGAACCCAGTGACTCCCAGGCTACTGCATTTGATTTTTTTTTTAACCCCACAGCAGGGACACTGAGACTGCCAGTGAGTAGACTGGTTTTCCCGAGGCCCTCAGGGTGTAATAAGTCTTCAGGTGGACTCGGGATAACGTCGACCCTGAGGGGTACATCTCGTCTCCCCTTCGGCTTACACAATGCCATCCTAAGAACAAGAAAGACTTCTAGGAAAAGCCACAGTAATCTTGTCTGCGATTTAGGTTTAAAGCTTTCAGTGGTTTTCTCTATGCTTTCAGGAATCTATGATTTGTAACGAGGCCCATGAGGCCTGCGGATCTGGTCCTTCGCCAACCTCCTCCCTCCAGACTGCCCTGGTCTCCAGGAGCTCCAGGTGACACTGGTCTCCTTCAGCTTCTAAAATCAGCTCAACTCAGGCCCACCTTCCTAAATGCTGTTCCTTTGTCTGGAAAACTCTGTTTTCGGCTCTTAAAAGAGCTAGTGCCTTCTCATCTTTAAAGCTTCTGTTTAAAAGTGACTTACTCAGACAGGAGAGCAAGACACTGTTAACAGTTTTGCCCCCTACTATATGCCCAGAAGGCACCAAGTGAGTATTTGTGGTATGAGTAAATGAATGAATGATTATGCCCCTGATCATTATACCCAGGCACATTTCCTCCTTCACTGGGGGTCAGCTGTGTACTCGGGACAGCGGCAGCTTGGCACAGTGATCAAGAGCCTGGGCTCTGGGACGTAGTTCCACAGTGTAGCAGTTAGCACGTCTGCTTTACACGCAGAAGGTCCTCGGTTCGTGCCCCAGTGGAGCCACGGTCCATGGTCTACAGCCATGCCACCCTGAACAAGCCCGATGTCTGATCTCGGAAGCTAAGTAGGGTTGGGCCTGGTTAGTATTTGGATGGGAGACCACCTAGGCAGACCAGGTGCTGTAGGCATAAATAATAATAATAATAATAAAGAAAGGGCCTGAGCTCTGGAGTCAGACAGAACTGGGTTCTAGTCCCGGCTCCCTCACTTTTCAGCCTATGACCCAAAGCCATTTCCTTTTTAACACTGTATTATGAAATAGTCCAAAAATACACAAAAGTAGAAGGAATAGTATAATGAACCCCCATTACTCTTCATCCAGCTTCAAAAATTATCAAAATATTGCCAGTCTTGTTTCATCTATTTCTCCTCATACCTTGCTCGTTTTTCAAACAACTTGATTGAGATGTAATTCACATATTATAAAATGTACCCATTTCTAAGTATATAGTTCAATGATTTTTATGTATAGAGTTGTGCAATGATCACAATAACCCAGCTTTAGAACATGTCGATCACTCCAGAAAGTTCTCTTGTGTGACCTGGGGCAATCTGCTGAAACGCTCAGTGCCTCAGTTTCCCCATCTATGAAATGAGGACAATCATGCCTACATCATTGGCTTGCAGAGTAATTAAATACAAGAATGCCAGGGTAAAGAGTCCCAAGGCAAGAAGAAGTGGCATTGTTTTGACGATGACATGGTGCTGTGCTGGTCTGCAGCTGAGTTCCCCACGGGCAGGGGCCGCTCTCAGGGCTCCCCAAGCCCTGACTGAGCTTAGCCCAAAGTAGGCACTTACCATGTGCTGGTCAGAATGGGGGTTGATCCCCACTCAGAATGAGAATGCATCTGGGCAGCAGCGCACTGGGATGGTAAGCTCAGCCCTCAGGACTCCCAGCCTGGGCGTGGCCCAGGTGTCTTCTTTGAGCCCATACCTTGCGCCTGTGCCACCAGAACACTGGCATTCAGCTGCCACTCAATGTCCCCTTCTTCTTCTGCGCACTGCTGGGACTTCTCTCCGTAATTCTGAGCCTGCCAGGCCTGGTCCAGCTCCAAGTAGCAGCGACCGATCTCATGGAACAGCCAGGTCTTCTCCAAGGTGGTTTTTGCCAGAGGGATCTTTTCCTCCCACCTGGGGACATGAAAAACCAGATCAGCTTCAATCCCACACTTAGCCACAGGAGGTCGAGGCCCATTACTGGGTGGAAGAATAAAAACTGTTCTTTTAGATACAGGGGTGGAGCTAAGAAGCGTTAACATTTTTTAAAACTACCAAAGCTATTTTGGAACACCTATGGGATCAAATTTGATACAATTGAAAATAAGGTTTATGAAATAGGATTTGAACGACATATAAATAATATTTAAGAATATTATGAAGAAATGTTATAAGAGAAAACCAACACAGAAAAATGACTGAAATGAAAAAAACAAAATATCAATAAAAGTAAGAGTAGGATTAGAATTAGCCCTTGTCTTTTGGTGGTGGGACTGAATAATTTTTCTTCTACTTTTCTGTATTTTCCAAATTAATATTTTAATAATAAGCACCTATTTACTATAAAACTTTTTTTATAAAAAGATACTAATGGCCAGGCAAACTCTCATATTCCTCTGTCTTTTGGCACTTGGACACCAGGGATGATTTAGAAAACCAAATGAAGTGTAGCAGAGGTGAACAAGTCTATTTCAATCAAGAGATGAGAACTGGAAGGACAATTTACCTCTGTACTAAGTAGCCCAAGGAGCCGGCTCTTCCAGTGCAGGCCCTCCCCCTAGTCTCCCTGGGGCTGAATCA